TAACTCATAAAATAACATTATTATGAAAGAATGATAAAAAGTTTGGCATAATGTTCTTATGAGTTATAATGAAAAAAAAAGTAAAGATAATCATAATAGAAGAACCACTCGATCTTGAAAACAATAGGCATCCCTTCATTAAACCAATTGCTCGGCTCCTTTCCTAAGTTGATTTTGTGTCATCCAATGATAGCATGTTTACCCTCCCAATAATGGCATGATTCGAAAAAGGATTGGAATTAATGGTCAAAGGATTTGAGAAGTCTTTAAATACAATGATGCCTTGATCAATCAAATCTCGTACCTTTTTCTTGAAGCTCATACAATTCTCACTATTATGACCATTGACACTACTATGTTATACACAAACTTCATTTGGCTTATACCAACGAGGGAATGATAGGCGAAGTGGTGTAGGTGTCATAAGAGCTATTTGGCCAACGATCATAAGGTGTTCGAAGAGATCACTAAGAGATGGAAAGTGACGGTAAGATATCATTGAATTGCCTCGTGTCGTTATTCCCTAGAGAGTTCGATTGGGTGATCTAAGTTGGTTGATAAACTCGTTATGGGCTTTGTAATGTGTTTGGGGTTGACGTTGGGGTAAGGTTGGTGTTTTAGTGGTTTGGTAGGGATTTTGTGGCATTTGGTATTGTGGAAAGGTTGGTGTTTGGCCGGTCATTCCAGTATGTTGGTTGGATTGGCATTTTTAAGAATTATGAACTGTGTAGTTGGGTTGGGCATGTTATTTTGAGGGATGAACTAACTATTATTACTCCAAGAGTTGTTCCATTGCCTCCAGGAATGAAAGAAGATCCTCCGATTTGATGTACCTTTTGTTCTTTTCTCCGACTGAAGTTACTCTTCTTCGTCCGGATTCCGAAGGATTAGCTATCCTTCTTAACTTGATGGCTTGTTCTATCCGATCTATAGCAGACACTATCTCCATAAAAATTTTTGACCCATTACTCGGTAGATTGTCATAATATGAGGCCTTAAAGGTATTGACAAAAAGAGTAGTCAATTCTCTCTCGAAGGGGTAAACGAATGCGAGATGTTATTTCTCTCCATCGTTGAGCGTGCTCCCTAACGATTCCCCGGAACCTTTTTCCATAGACTCGTACTTTTTCCATAGGCTCGTAGGCTAGATCCGTCAAGTGTTATGTTCAAATTAAATTTGTACTCGCCTCATGAATAAATCTACTAAATCCTTCCACCTCTTGATCTTTGTTTGGTCTAAGCCCATCGAGACTCTCGAAAAAGAAATGGATCAATAGTTTTTCGTCACATGCTACCTCGACCATCTTTTTTAGATAGATCCTTATATGGGTCTTAAGACATTGACTCCTAGTGTACTTAGCAAGTTCAACCACTTTAAACTTCGAGGAATCACCACATTCAACATTAGATATTTATCTAAGCCGAGGAGGGGATCGTACATATCTATACCTTTGATAGCCCTCAAATGTTCCTTAATGGTCGTGAGCTTCTCAACTTCAAGTTACGAGGCTATCTTTTCCTTGGTCGATTCATCGGTGATGAAATTAGTAGTTGCGGCTATCGATGCTTGAACAATCCGAGGTAATATAAGAGCGGGGCCGGAAGGTCTTTGAGCAAACTCATATGTGCCCCATAGTGTGAGATAGTTGGTAATATTAGTAGTACCGAGAGCTCCAAATAAGGCATACCATGAGTTATGTTGGAGCAACAATCCGAGTGATTAGCCGTGACATGATGGTGAACACTTTCGAGAAAGATGATGATTGGCCAAATTCTCTTTGGATGATAATCTCTAAAGACATACGATTTTGTCGACTATGTTCCAATAGAGCAATGAGCCTAGCAATCTCTTCCTTTAGCGTCTCTACCTCTTTCTAGTGATTTTTCTCTAACGAGCCTTTTCTTCGTTTTCTATCTCTTTTCTTGCTCTAGTATGGTGAATGTGTGAGGGAAGTGTAGTTTTGATAGGTATACCTATGTTTCGCTTAGACAAAAGACAATAATATAATATATAGACAATATATTAAAAATAAAATGACACTCGGGATTAAATATGGAATAGCCATCATGTGGGGATGATAAGAGGATCCAATCATTTATTCTTTGACATTATCCCAAATTGGTTTAAAGTGAAATTAGGCTTCATCGGTAACCCTCGACATGTTTTGATCAAGCTTCGAAACTTCTTTGGTATTCGAAATTGTAGAAACTAGACTTAAATACTCTTATCACCCATCCCGAAACATCATGACCTAATTGCTCGATCAAGGTTTTGATACATTTGACTTGCCTAGTGACATTTACATGTAAGATCCTAGGGTCCGGTTCAAAGTCATTACATTAACGAGTAAGATCTATCTAAGTCTCAACAGGATCCTTTTTGGCCTAGAAGAATAGAGGCTAATCAAGTACGAAGGTGGTAATCGTAGGGACCATTGATTACCTATCACAATAGTGGCAACTTTCCAAAAGAGTTAAGGTTTCTTGAGTGTTACCCGAGTCACAACCCATCGAGGCACCGGTAATTTCTCTCTATATTCTAAGGAAAATGTAGATGACATTTAAAATTATGCAATGTAATGTGTGCATAAGCATTATTCCATATCCAATCCCAAAAACAAAATAAAGACACAAAAAGAAGTGAATAAATAAACAAGCAAAAATAAAAATACAAGGCAAAAAATGACAAAAAGGCATGAATTTGTACGAGGGAGGAAAATTACACAAATCAACATATAAGCATAAAAATTCATTACATCATCGAAATCAAATTCAAAAATTTCATGCAAAGCCTAACCCTAAGTAGTCCTTAGCAGAGTTGTCATTCCGTCGTAGGGCGACGTTGGTGGCGAGGGCAACATGTTTAAGTGAAAATAGGGTGAAATAGGCAAAAATAACTAGATTCACCACCTAGTATTATCGTTACTAGGAAACCTTATGATTGGTTTGTTTAGAGTTCTTGATAAGGGGTTTTATTATGTGTAGAAAAGATTAAAAATCACCCTACCCCGTCTTGCCTAAGGGAAGTTGCATTACATACAAACTTTGATTTGATTTTTGATTTTTAATGATGAAAGTTTACACCATCTCTTAAGCACTAGCCCAATAATTGAGTGATTCAAAACTTGGTCGGTCGAAACCATGTCCTCACTCGGTAATGAATAGTTAAGAAATGAATAGTTATGATAAATTGCAAGAATATGTGGCTAATGCGACTTAAATGACATACATGAAAAACAAAACTTAAAAATAATAAGAAAGTAGATAAAACATGTAAATTAGAAAAATTGACAAATAGGCAATTATGCAAAAATAGGCAAAATTGTCAAAAATGGACAAACATGAAAAGAATGGCAAAATCGACAAATTCACAAAATTGACAAATAGACAAAATTGGCAAACATTGGCAAACAGACTAAATAATAGCAAAATCAACAAATTAAAAAAATTGACAAATAGAAAAATTGACAAATATGGGAAAATAGGCAAATAATGGCAAAATCAAAAAATTGACAAAATTGATAAATAAGGAAAATCGATAAATTGACAAAATTCGTAAAATTGACAAATAGGCAAAATTGACGAACAAGCAAATAAGCAATTAGGTGAAATAGACAAAATTGACAAACATGTAAAAAGGTAATTAGGAAAAATATGCAAAATCGACAAATTGAAAAATAGGCAATTAGACAAAATAGGTAAGTTAGCAAAAGCTGACAATTAGGCAAAAACCAATAAATAGGCAATTAGGCAAAATTGGCAAAAATTGACAAATAAGTAAAATCGATAAAAATCAACAAATAGACAATTAGGAAAATTTGGTAAAATTGGCAAAGGTTATAAAAGCGATAAAAATGACAAAAAAGGCACAATTGAGAAAAATTGAAAAATTGAAAAAAAATCATTAAAGTTAACGAAACTAATCTAAAAATAGAGATTAAGACCGACATGACTTCAAGAATTATGATTTTCATTCGAAATCGACAAAATCATTGAAATTGATATAAACAAACCAAAAGCAGGATTCAAATCAACACAACTCAAGTATTGTGATTTTTTAGACAAATTCAACACAATGGAAAATCAATTCTCATGATTTGCGACAACAATTCAAAACAAGGCTCGGATCCATGTGGCTTAGAAATCATGTTTTCCAACATAAATTTGCACAAATATTGATTAAACATTGTAATGGGTAAAAATGATCCTGAAACAAAATTCGAACGAATGCCATTTGGAAGTCAAATTTTTAATGAAACATTAAAATCAATTGATATTTGACGAAATTATTCCAAACCATGAGTTTCAAACTAACGAGATCCAAGATCGCCTTTTTTAGATGAAATCATCCCGGGAGTGATTTAACGTTAACATCACGAAAAAAAGGTTCCGAAAACATAATTTGAGCCAACGTAAAGTAATAACTAAATATATTTCTTTTCTTTAAAACCAGTTGACACAACTCGATTAATGATAACGGTCGATCACAAGTAGTCCAAAAACAAGATTCGACCCAACGCATCTTAAAATCACACCAGCAACAACAAACCAACTAAGCATAGCAACAACCATCAATATCAATCAAACTAATGCCAATCTAAAAACAAGTTAATTAACCATATGTATAGCAACAATTTGATCAAATCATACGTGGTTATCAATCTTAATTAATTTACACAACATAGCAAATCAATTAATTACAAACAAAACAGCACGGATCAAATTGAATACATATTAAAATAAATTGAAATAAAATATAAGGTAGGAGTCAAATGAATTTGACTGTTGAATTTGTGATTAGTTTCGATACTTTCAACCCCGATGGAGGCTGATTATTCAGTCAACCAGAGAGGAATGATGGCTGTCCGTTGTAGATCTAGACTCTGTGTGAAGCCAAATAGTGGCTACTAAGTGGATCTAGGCTGGATAGTTAATGGTGGCTGTTGTTGAAACTCTGTGTGGCTATTAGACGAGTGGGATGGTGATTGGTCGACTATAAGGCTGGCAACCAAGGGGGTGCATGCTGTCAAGGCTGAGCACTTGAGGCGCGCGGGCTGGCACATGGGCAAGGCTTGCGAGGTGCATGGACGAGGCCTATGGGGTGCTGTGAGCTGGCCTGGGCGTGCTGGCGGCCTACAGGCACTAGCTGGGCATGCGCGCAACTAGAGGTAAGTAATAAGCGCTACGAGGTAGCCTGGGCATGTTGGTGTGGTAGTGTGTGGTGGCTAGTTGGAATTTTTCAGAGGGAGCAGGAGGCAATTGGCTGGGTTATTAAAAGAGATGAACAGCGGTTGTAATTTTTTAGGAAAATGAGGTTTTTATACTAAGTTTTTAGGGTTTTTTGGGCTAAGTTTGGTTTGGTCCCTTATCTCGCAAACCCACTTTATTTTGATCCTTTTCTCCTTTCCTTTTTCAATCGCATCCCTCGATTATGTTTTTTCATACCCTTTTCTTTTTCTTTTTTGTTTCTTTTTTTTTTTTTTTTTTTTTTTTTGGGAAAAAATTTGGGTGCTAAGACATATGCATGACAAAATGTTAAGATTGACTCAAATTCATGCTCAGACACACATCTCCAAATTACTTAGTTAGATCAACATTTCTATAGTAAGGATAATCCTATAAATACATACATAGCACTTATGGACAGAAATTCATTTAACTGCATAGCATGTACAACATACCTTCAACTCTTCTAACTTATTACAGCCCCATGCAAAAGTAAACCATTCTGCAAGCAGAACCAAATTTTAAAATTATAAAATACTCAAAGAAGAAATTGGCTAATTAATAAATGGAGGAATCACATGATTACTGAAGCTTTGGCATAGAACAAGAATTTAAAAGTTAATAGATCGATTTATGCAAAGCCAAGGACTATAACATTATCAGAAAGTTTTTATAATTTAGACAAATGAACATGGGTGCAAGGATGAATGTGTAAAGTATCTTTCAGTCAAGCACGAAAAACCTTTCTATATGAAAAACAGACCAAGAACTACAACATTATCAGAAAGTTTTTATAGTTTAGACAAATGAACATGTGTGAATGCATGTGTGTGAAAAGTGTCTTTCAGTCAAGCACAAGAAACCTTTCTGTATGAAACACACACCAAAAATGAGCGAAGTGAAAATACCAGGCAAGAGAACATGAAAAACAATGATGGTGAAAATTGTAAGTAGATTACCTCAAGCACATGATGCTAGAGAAATATCAGATTAGATCATTCCAGAATACAGAGGAACAGCCATGTGTCAATCTTCTCTTTCGATGCACCTAAACCAACCCAGGTATGGAAGGAAAGAGACTGTGACTAATATAGATGAAGGTGATTTGCCAACTCATCATTTTTGCAGGAAACAGGTCTTAAAATGCACAAAGAACAGATAAACCAATGAAGAGAAATAGTTCTTGAAATTCACAAAGAACAGATAAATCAATGAAAATATATTCAGTCTCTTGCAAAATACAAGTTGTCTACCGATACCATTGACGCTCCTTGACATATTCAACATAAGATTCAAGTAACTGCAAGGGCAGGGAAATCTATCATATTTTACCTTTCCTATCCCAATAGCCAGGAAAAGATGCTGCTGACATAAAAAATGACTGGAGCAAATCTTAATCAAAATGAATTGGTACATTTTCAGAGGATCGATATGATAATTGTTCATAATACCAATTCAACTAAAAACACAATCCTGAGAAACAAATAACCTAAAGGTAGGTTTCAAGAAGAAAGAATCTATATGTGCAGCAATGATTGGGACACTACCTGTTCAGAGATCTCCAATGACATTCTGAAAGCTTGAAGATCTAAGGCTTCTTAAATAGAGACATTTGTGTTGGACAAAGAAACGAAACTGGAATATTCATCAAATAGCAGAACCGGAATCTCAAAGGAAACATCCATATTTTCATATCAACCAACTTCAGTAACTTCCACTGTGAGTTAAAATCTTATAAAGCCTCCACCCCATCAAAGAAAATCATGATGTCTCTTTTTAGTTTATGGACCAGTCTGACAAATAACTTTGCAGCCAGAAAGAAGTACAGAGTCTGCACACTAAGTACTTGCAAGCATGTAGGAATGCAAGGAGTGGGAAAACAGACAATCCTGCATGCAATGATCCTCTGAACTGCTACTCACTCACATAAGAAGAAATTAAATCAACAACGTGCTCTATCAGAGAATAACTAAATAGAATATTATTGGCATGATTTCAGTTCACAACATCTATTAAACTATCAACAAGTTCAAAGGAACTAGAGATTTTATCATCCTTGAGTGCCAAGGCAACAGCCATCCGCCACAAATCTACATCAATGATTTTTCCTTTTTCCAGACTATTAAAAACTGACCATAACAAATCTTCATTCTTTCCCTCACACAAACTATCAACAAACTTGCATATACTGGCAGAACGAGGTGCAAAACCCTTGAAAATCATTTCATCCAAAATCAGTGCTGCTTCCTTGAACTGCATCCCATTACAAAGCCCATCAAAAAGAATCCTATAGGAAACAACATCAGGAGAACAGCCACGTCTTGGCATGTCTTCAAATAAATCATTTGCTTCACCCCATTTCCCTTCATTAAACAGCTCTCGAAGGATCACATTGTAACTAATAACATCAGGCTTACACCCTTTCTCCACCATCTCATCCAACAATCTATAAGCTGCTTCAAAATCCTTATCCTTACAAAACAAATTAATCATCACATTGTAAGTCACAGTATCAGGTTTGCACCCACTTACTTTCATGTCCTCCCAGACAATTAAAGCCTCCTCCTTTCTCCCAACCTTACAAAGCCCACTAATCAAAGTCGAATATATTGCTGAATCCATTTCAATTTTATTTCTAATCATCTCCTCCTTGAGCCTAAAAGCTAAATTTAACTCACCATTCTCACAAAGCCTCTTAATCAACGAGGCATAAATATAAGCATTAGGATACACCCTATAGACCTTAACCATATCTGTCTTCAGCTTAAAAGCCTCCGTCAATCTCAAATTCAAACAAAGCCCATAAATCAAATTCCCAAATGTAATCACATTAGGACTAACACCTCTTTTTTTCATTTCATCAAACACTTTGCACGCATCATCTATTCTCCCACTGGTACAAAACCCACGAATCAATAAATTATAAGTACAAGCATCTGCTTTCCCAAATTTCTCGATACCCACAAAAAGTTCCCTCATTTTATCAAAATCCTTGCACATCAAGAATACATTTAGCAACGAATTATACGATTTTATAGTCCTTTGGACACGAAACGAAGGCACTTCATCAAACACTTTGAGTGCGTTTTCAGGGAGATGGGCACGGCCATAGAAATTGATTATGTCGCAAAAGAGAGCTTCTTTGGAGGTGAAACGGATTTCTTCTTTGAGTTGGGCAAGGATTTCTTGCATTTCTTTGAACATTTTGGCACGGCCAAGCTTGGTGATGATGAGATCATAAGAGAGAAGAGAGTATGGAATGGGTTTTAAAGGGGTTTTAGGATTTGGGTTTGGGTTTTTAAAGAGCTTGAGAGCGAGTTTAGGATCTTTTTGGAGACGGAGAAGAGAGGCTAGCCTGAAAGTAGTAATGGGTCTTGCTGGGTTCATTTTTGTTGGGGCTCTCCTCTGCAATCTGTCCTCTGTGTGTTTGACAGATGAACTGAGGGAATTTCTAGATTCCCGCCAAAAAGAGTAATTGAGGGAGGTCGGTCACAAGTAGTTTGATCACCTGATTGTGGATATACAAGCCCGACAACTCAATTTCAAAAAAAAAAAAAAAAAAAAAAAAAAAAAAACAAACCATTTTTGGTTTTTCATTGGATGGCATTTTTTTTATGGGTTATTTGACGGCCCACGAGGCATAGATTTCTTTCTAAATTTTTTTTAAAAAAATGTCTTTATATAATGGAGTTATTATTCATATATTCTTTAACTAAACCGAGTATATCTATATAAAATATATATAGGTTTCCATTTGTTTTTTCGTTGACATTTTTCAGTCAAACCATAAGAGGTATAAGGCGAAACAGTCTAACTTGCCTTCATATTTTAGTTGCAGTCTCTAATATGTCCTTAAAAATTTAATTGTTCCTAAATTGTTTATGAATATAGTACTCTTTTTTAATCTGATTTTTTATTAGATATTCTAGTCGAAATTGATGAAAATAATGTAAGATGAGAAGCCGAGTTAATTATAAATTACTCCTTTGATTTTGCAAAATAAATTAAATAGTTATTTTAGTTTCAACAACTAATTAATTAATCTTTATGTTTTTAAATATATTTGTAACTTAATTTTTTTTGTTTTTTTCAATTTATTTTTAAAAATTTATATAGAGAAGTAAAAAATATGAAAAGATTAACCAGGAAAAAAAAGATATTTTTAGAATAAAAAATATGAAATTAACCATGGTCAGTATTAATAGAAAAAAAAAACTAATTGATTAGTTTTTTTAACAATGACTTTTTCTTCTTCTTCTTCTTCTTCTTCTTTTTTTGCAAAACTAATTTATAATTACTCATGAAAAAACTCAAACCTAACTTAATTTATCAAAAAAATAACCATGAAAAAAAAATTAACACCACATGACAATTTATTTTCTTTTGAATTTATGTTTTTAATAAATTAGGTGTGGTTTGGAGTTTTTCAAGTTTTGATATTTTCGTGAGAGAAAATTGGAATTTAACTTGTCTAACCTTTTGTTTTTTTTTTATTATTATTTTGATTTGTTTTTCTTTTTTTTTTTTCAATTTCTAGAACCTATTTTTTTTATATAAATTTTTATTTTTTTCCTCAATAAATATAAGTAGAACCCACATTTTACAATGTGTCGGTTAGAGACTCGTCATGTGTTAATTAATTCATGCCACGTCAATATTTTCAAAGTCCGTTGTCGAGAGGAACTCAAATAGAAAAAAATAAAGTGATGCCGGATTGATAGAAACCACGCCTTGCAAAATACTCACATAACAAGCAACACACGACCAAAATAATCAAGGTACAAACTAGCCTCAAAATGGCCCCAAACATACGCAAATATACCTCAAACACAAATCAAATTTCAATCAAATCAACCCTCAAACACCCTACACAATTGGATCTCACAATCACCAAATCATACACACATTATTCTCCAAAAAGGCTATATGCGTTCTCTACCCAAACCAACTCAAAACAACATGAAATTTTAACACAACCTAGATACTACCCAAAAGAACGTGTATGGAAAATTTCTACTCAATCTAAGCTCTTTAACCCCCAATAGGCTCCCAAATTTACATCAACTTCCACAACTCCAAAACACAAGCAAATATTTTTTTTTTTTGAATTTTTTATGGGAGTTAAGACAACCCATTAACTAGCTACTAGTAAAATTTAGGATAAAAATAAAATCCATAGCCTTAGTTGTTAGTTTGAAGAGCAAAACTATTTAGTATGTAATCCTAATCTACCATTTATCATGCAAACAAACAATAAAAATAAATCAAGTCCCAATGTCTCATCCCTAAGAAGAGATCCACTACTTAAGTTGATTTAAAGAGTACTTAAGTTGATTTAGAGAGTACTTACAAGATACATTTGTCAAGAGTCCATCGAACATAATTTTGATCGAAGTCCACTTTAGTTGATCACCTTAAAGATGTGTTCACGACGTCGTAGCCAATCCAAACTGTCAGGTATAGGTGCCCAAGATCCAATCTTGTTTAGATAATTTGATATATTATAATATTATATTTAGTATTAATAAAGAAATCTTTCTATTAACTATTGTTATTTATTATTTGATAGAATTAGATAAAAGTCCATATAGAAGTCCATATAATATGCATTGCATTAATGATTGATCAAAAGATATGCGACAAACATCAATGTATTTAAAAAATATCATTAAATATCTCAAGTCATAGCATTGTCAAAAATGGACATTGGCTATATGCGGTAAGATTTGTGAGTGTTATGCTCTTACTATAAGATAGCAATAAAAGATATCACACCTACTAGCATGGTGATGCCAAACTAAGCACTTAGGTGAATAATGTTAGAGAATATATCACTAGACGTGACTTGCCATGAGAAGCTATTTGGTTTAGTCTATGAAAATCTCATACGAGATGGGTACAAATGGTCCTTTAACTTGAAGTCATCACGGTTATCTTATTAGAGGATTTATGTGCTTTGACATTTGTTTCGATGGACTATTTGTTGGGTGCACTAGGAATCTAATGGAGATAGGTGGATGACTAAGATAAGATATATCATTCCTTATATGCTAAAGGACTTATCACATTGTATTTCTTTATGTTTTCAAACTTGACAAAACCGCCCCTTGATACTTGTTCCTTTTTTATCATCATCCATACGGATTCTCCCTTATTGTAAGTTTCCTTGGTTCGAAATTTAGAGACTTCAACCCCATGACTTTTCTTTGCTTGTATTTCCATCATTATTTGCATCATGCTTCAATTTGGCAAAGTCATTAACCTTGGCTAGATTTTTTAGGGTTCTTCCTTTTTTCTAGCAACAAATCTTCTTATTCTTCCTAGTAGCAACCCTAAAATAAGTTTTATTTGTCTCGACGAGTAGCATCATATGCTTTCCTTTTGAATTTATCAATATCGGTTAGCAAGCTCTCATGTCCCTTGATGACATCAATCTTTTTATTTTTTCTTCCACCTTGGATAGCTTTTAAGTACCCATCATCGCCTTGAAAAGCATTCATGCTAACCATATAAACCATGATAGCATCATCGGCACTAATAACGATAGTAAATTGGTCAACACAATTAGCAATAACCCTATCAATAATAACCACACCATCTACGGCATTCACATCAATGACCTCAAGCATATCACCATACTTACTTCAAATGCACTCCATTTCAACCTTTAGCATTTCACATGTTTTCGTCTACCATGACATATAATAGAAACTTTTCTATCCATCCCAATATCAATAGAATACGAAGTATCTAATTCATCATCATGATATTCTTCATACCTAAGACTAGCATTCAAATCAATAAAATTTCCTATTCTACTAGCCTTAGCTTAATCAAAAACTTCATCATGGTCAAACTTATACAAAATTTTAAAATTCAAATCATGATTAGTTTGATGTGACTTATCTTGACATAAGCTCGATGAATTAACTACACTCTTGACCTCTACCAAGTCAACTCCTCAATTAAGCACCTTTTATTCAAAGAAATCATCATGGTTGATGGTATTCTTACTTCAATCTTACGGATGTCTAGTCAAGATTTTTTAGCTTACTTTCTTGCTTTCCTTTGCCATATAATCTCCTCGAGTCCTAGACTAGCAAACGTCATCACTTGAGAAGGATTATCTTACACACTTATCACTAAAACGATCATAACTTTTATTAGGATGCTCAAAATCATATATTGTTTGATGTGTTGAAAACTTGATTCAAATGCCTTTTGAGTAGTATATAACTTGTATAGTAATTTATTCAATACTGATATAGTTTTATGTCCGAATTTGAAACTAAAATATGAAATTATTACAAGCTTCATTCCAATACAATCCTTTTCCATCGAATGAATCTCGTCTTTATGGCCTCGATGCATTCTACTATGTAGTCCTCCACAAATCAATATTGCTTATGTCTTTATGTATTTAGATAGTGAAGTATCATCTAACACATGAAACTTCCTCTAGTCAACATTAACAAGACTTATTTGTTCTCAAACGTCAACATCATATAGGAAAGTTTTGAATAAGTTTTTAATGGCCCTATGCTCCTCTAAATCAACTTCATGGCTAATATGGACATCATTCTCAGTTAGTTCTTTAATGGCAATAACATTTTTTACTTCATTATTGAAAAATTTAGTATCTATAACATTATCAATATCGGTAGCATTGTCAATGCCTTCATTAGAACTTTGGATGCTTTTGTCACTAATAAATTTAGCTTCTTTAATATCTTCTTCTTCAAAAACCCCTTCTTATTACTGGAATTTTTCTTTTATAATTTCATCTACTCTACTATTCATAAACATAGATGTAGAAACAACCTTCTCATGTGTGGTAACACATCTAGCCAAAACTTCCTTCTTTGTAAACAACAATATAATCTATACTCCATTAAAGGAAAAGGTATAAGTATTCCGAAGCCATCATGTATAACTTGACAATCATATTTCTAAAGCCTAACTAATAATAAATGGCAAGCATCCATCGATACCATATCACATCAAACCTTATTAATATAAGTTTTACAAATGGAGAACACCAAACATCTCCTTAAAACGCAGATCTCATTTCCCTTTCATAGCCAAGGTAAGGAACAAGAATGGGGATGAGTTACCATCACCTAATTCAATTTCCTCACCTTCAATGAAGACACCATATTCTTCACAACTATCTCCGTCGATGATCAATTTACACACCTTTCCATTTGATATGCAACGAGTGCGAAAAATATTATGCCTCTCTCAACCTTCTTCGATAGCTATGTCCACACTTAATAATCTTGTATCAACCATCTCTACAATCAGTCAACTATATAAATGAAGCAAACCTTAACTCGATACCAAATTGATACCGGATTGAGAGATGTCATGCCTTATGGAATAGTCAA